TCCATTATCATGACGGTTTAAATCATGATGTGTAAATCCTTGTTTAGGTACGTTTGGGCACGTGATATCAACAAACCCCGTCACAGACTGGGTCACACATATAAATATACACGTTCACAAACCTTCACGACGATCGTTTTTCTACCTCGGGTAAATTGATGAGATGCGGTTGTGTATCTAAATTTATCAGTATCAATCATAAATTTTAACTATAGTTATGTATGATGATGCAGGGACGTGTGTGAAAATGTCCACATTAACAAGATTTTGTCAGAGGGTTGAATTCAAGCATTATGTTAATATTTGTTCCATTCATTTTCAGTATATCAACACTGTGTTTAAAATCTTGTTATAGTAGTAAATGGGTTTTATTATTCAACTAATACACTATTGTAAGTATCGAGCCAACCCGTGTCAGAAAATACAATATGTTGTATGTATACACGGGTATCAACCTCATAGACTTTCTATATTGTTACTCTTTCGACATAAGTTTGAGATATAAAGGAAAGACCCTTCACTAGTTATCCGACCATTTTTGTCCTGTCTTACGAATATTCTGAAGATTACATACCTCTTAAGTTTAGATCTAGTAATGTTTACACAGGACCATGTACTAAACCTCGTGATAACTGGTTGCAACCATGCCTTAGTAACCGAAAGTTGTGTTTGTACAGGTAAGACTCAGGTAAGTCGAAGTTTACAGGTAGATCTGCTATTCCTAATCAAGTTATCGGAACGACGAGTTTATAAATACTGTACAACTATCTACGGTAGATTTATCTAACTTAATGAAATGTTTCTGGACGTTTTTGTTTGTAGAGCAAGAGTTTACGAGACCGCGATGTTATAATCGGTAAGAGCACATAGGTTATTATCTTCTCAATGACTTCAATAACGCGAAGAGACATACATCACCTGAAATTGGAATATTTAAAATCACTGGACGACCTAACGGCTACTAACCCTAAAAAGTTTACAATGTGTTTCGTTTCGTATTAAAGTTTGTTCTTGTTTGACCCGGCCACTACAGAATCCGATTTTTTTTAGGTGTTCATCTTGTATTCGAGAAAACCGTACGTTTACTTGAGCTGAGGAACGCAGACGTTTTCTCCCGAGTGTATTCAGTCTTGTCTTTGATGTTGTCAGGTGAAATGACTCTTGAGTGGCACCTTAATCTGTGAACACTGTTGTCGTATGACCTTAACAGCGTGAAACAAAGGTCATATGAAGACCATAACAAGGACACCACTACAAAACGTAGAAACAATTTACAGCTGTTCTTCTGCAATTGTATATTACACTGAATACACCATTTTGAAATAATTACCTTTACTGAGTGGTTTTTTCTCCAGCTTTCAAGATCTTCCCAATTTTCAAAGGAATGAACAATAAATTTGAGAACATATACGCAACTTGTATGCTTTAGTTTTACCTGTAAAACATTAACTGTCCGTGAGGAACTGTTGATTTGATGACGAACAGTATTTTCAGTAACAAAGGGGCGTATCTCTATACGTCTTGGGCTAAAAATTAGAATGTTCTTCACCTTTTCTCTCGCAGTCATATATGATTTTCTATTCTTTAATCTTTATTGACACCATCCTCTCTGTACATTCCGATGTTTTCTGGAAAAATGTTTATCCGATCAGTGCGACCTAGCCTACTTGTATCTTATACAACAAAACATCGAGTTTGTGTCTTCTGGTATAACTTTGTCTGTTAACTGAGCTTATCTTGTCGTGTGCCAGAGCTATTCTTCGGTCTACTTACTGGTTGCTACTCCACAGAACACAATGCTGGATTGCGTCGCATGCTTTCAAGGTTAATTAGAGTAGAGTGTATTGACGTTGCCGAAGGATACTTCAACAACTCAAGTATACAAATTAGCCTAAGAGAACATAGTAAAGAAAATTAAAAATATAATATTATCCAAGATATGAAAATTAGTATGAGAGATCTCTGACGATGAACAAGAAAATTCACACAAAAGGGCTTCGGTAAAGTAAAAAATAACATAGAAAGTCTCGGATAAAGAACCAGTTTCTCCGATAGAACATTCATTGTATTTCTTGTATCCGATCTTAAATGCCTATTGCGCGAGTTGTTTTAGGGGTGTTATCTGCATGCTGAACAGGGGCATTACAGGGCGTCTTGTGAGGATTCGACGTTGTTGAAGTGCCAGTGTAAGATTTCGGAATTGTTACATCTTAGTGTACATAAAATTACAATACTACAGCCTGAAAGTCAGGTAATTCGTTACCATCTCGTACTCTGTATAGTTTATTGCAGAAATGCTACACAATAGTGTAATGACGTATGATGAACGTGACAATGTAATCATTAAAAAGTCACACAGATTTTTCTAACTGGTTGCGATACATGAACATCTCTTCAATAATAGGAAAGCATTGACTATGGTCATTAATAAAGATGCTATATAGAACTGAACTGACTTCTAAACAACACTGGTTCACGCCGATGTTAAATAACCGACATATAAAGTTTTAACGTCTGTCTTTAGTGTACGATTTTTTCATTTTCAGTACGCAATGTCCAATGTTTTAATTGTTTTGAAATAATGACCACAAAAAAAAGACTATTAAAATTTGTCAAAAGACACTCTTAAAACTTTGAAAATAGTATGCGAAAACGTATTAGGAATTGATGTACACAAATCAATAACGAAAAACCCGTTTTACAAGTCGACGTTTAAATAAAGAGTTGTCTCTCTTACAATTACGAAATTGCAACAGCCCAGCGTATGAAAACAGCCCGCTTGGTTTAAAGCCCGCACCAATACATTTTGAGATGACAAAGCACTTTGTTTTAATTACAAAACATCCTGTGTTTTAATTAGCATGTTCTACTACGGTTAACATGGAGGTGAACATGCACAGTTGCCTTGGGTAGAAAAATCAATTAAATAGAAAGGACTAGTGCATTCATTTTATTTTTTACCTCATAAAAAACTGTATTGAACTCATCAACTTCACATATTCTCGTGATGAAATGGGTTTGTTCCTCTGCAGGATACGAAAGTGCTTATTGACAAATATGTCACGAAAGAACTGCGGAACACATGGCGGATGTGAACAAGTACATAAAGGTACTTAGTATGCGGGCTACGATAAACACTCTTTTCAATTCCGAGAATCCGGTTTACACAGGCTTCAGTCCAGTGACTGAGGTTTGGGTAAAAGGACGCGTTTAGGAGATCTAGTCACTTGAAGGGAAAACGAAAAAGTTTCATTTCAAGAATGTCGATAAGGACGATATTGCGGGGTGGGGTTTTGAAAAATTGCTTTAATATTTTTTTTTCAATATTGAGGGTAAGCCATATCGAGTGACTTAATGACGTATGCGAATGACATATGTCTTTTGACTTAATGACGTATGCGAATGACATATGTCTTCTGTTGGGAGATCTTAATTTACAATTTATTATTTATCAAGACATCGGGGCAAATAACTCCGCGCATTGATGGTTCGTCCCTTAGAAATGTCATATTGCACAAAAAATAATTATCTTATATTGCAAGCCGTCAAGTTACGAGATGATTCAAGAAAATTCACGGTGGAATTCCCAAGCACTTTATTTCTTTTCGTAAGTGGATTCCAGTTAAGTTCGCCTGTAGCTATGACCTATGTAGCGGCATTTAACATTGAACATCAGGTGCGCGTGATAGGAACTCTTCTGTCTTTTCTCCTTTTTTCTTTAGTTTATGAGTAACGAGTTTATTCTGAAAACGCCGAGACAAGAAAAAAAACAGACTGCAAATTTCCTGTGTTATAAATTCCTAGTACCTAATCTCCTAGGTAATGTCCCAGCGGAAATACGCGAACTTTTGACTGTACATATTGTGTAGTTATATACACGTCAATAACGATGTCGTTCAAAGATATAGAATCACATGAAATATGCATCACTTGTCTCCGCGGTCACTGGTTATTTACCTACGGTGTCATTGCATTGTCCTTGTATTGACCGTATTTCCATCCGCTTACAAATCCCTATCGGCGAATCTTTTGATGGTCAGAAATCCTTATCACAATTCATATCAGACCATGTCCCAGAATTGGAAACTGCTAGATAACGCTAGATATTGGTAATTGATTTTCGGTCATATAAAGGCTTGGCAATGCCCAGATATATTTGAATTTGAACGGAAAAATAAAATATTTTTATATTCTCGAACTCTTTTTAATATAATTGAATGGAAAAAGTTATAAGGTTCCCGAAATCTCATAAATTTGGAAATACATTTGTAGAGGTCGTTCAAAAGTTGTTTTTTTTTTATTGAAATTAGGGATGCATAAAAGAAACTGATAACAGAAATGATGACCAATTTTGATTGACGGGTATTTTTTTCCAAAATCTCGAAAACTGTCAAAATGTCATTGTTATCCCAAACAATTTATTGCACGTTAACTTTGCATTCAACGCAATAGATTGGACACACGCAAGACTTGATTCTGGTTAAGCGCCAGTGGTTTTTCATTTGGGTATATTATTCATCGTTTAGATATACAGATCGGGAAGAACATCGTCACAAGACTGCTTGTATAATTAGTCAAACATCAGTGTTCCAAAACCTTTACTGGATCATAGAAATATAGGCCTCCATTATTATTTATATTCATAGTAGGACGACTGCTTGTACTAGATACTAGCCATCGATCGTAAATGAAAACTATTTCATATTCACTCTTTTTAATAGCTCTTGAAACAGACAAACGGAAGGAATGTTGGACGGAACAATCAACCTTCCTTCCGGCACCATGAATGGTTGGAATAATGAACGACAGAATACGGCGGTGTGAGAGTTGGCGCTTTCTGATCATCGCGTTCCCGAGCTATATAGTCCAGTAATGTCGCGTGACAAAACTAGATGCTTACACTTTACAATTGTTGAGCTTTGTGAAAAATTATTAGCATATTTATAACAATTCGACATTAGGATTTTCATTTTTATGTTAATAAATAGGTTCATACTTACAGAGGGTTTTGATAATCTCTCGGTGGTAGTTCATATTCATCTCCTTCCGGTTTGTTAGAATTTGTCACTGCACTCACTTGTCTTGACTGATGCAAGTCACTTCCACTTCCTGTACGACTGGGAGAGTGGTGGCGGCGCCTATGACGATGTGGGGACTTTACTCGTAAATGTGAACCGGGACTGCACGGGACATCCATTGCTGGAAATATATATTTGGAAAACATTTTTTTCAGCGAAAAAAGAAAACAGAAGTGGTAGAACTATGCTCATGTTGCGACAAGTGTCAAGATGCACATTCTATATAGGAGAGAAAGTAAGGGGTAAGAAGCGAGTGATACTTCCGGTACTGTCATGGTAGCGGCGAATTATGGCTAAACGATACCAGTCATAGTTTAAATAGAGTAAACGTCATTTCAAATCTCCTACATCTGTAGTGATTATCGTCAATTCCACGCGTGTTACGACAACCTATAATAACAGATCATTGTCGTTAAACAGCATTAACTTGGCTCCTTAAATGGGTTCCCAAGAATGGATCATCTAGCCCAAAGAAATTTCCAACTCTCAGAAGAATCATTAGATCTCTTTTTCTGAAGAGGAAGTGATAAGCAGAACTGACGTCATCACACGTGATTAAATAGTATCCACAGATAGTACGTATTTTTCTTCAATGGAAGTCCATTGAAGCTTGGATGAGTGTTCCAGTCTCGTAACATTCTACTTTACGCCAATTCTCAAGTGTATAGCGTTATAGCTTTTGTGTTGTTTTCAATTTCCGACGGGAACACTTATTACGCTTCATTCGTAATGATGTCGATCGTGTTCTAATTTATAATAGTAGCATGTAATTACACAGTAGTATAACACTGCAGTCGTTTCGTATGTAGGAGTTGGAGTTGGGCTGCCAAACTGACTTATTGAATACAAGCACGGATATTAATGATTGATCTAAACCATATATTTTACAAATGTCTAGGAAAGTAAGACATCATCCAGACTGAAATAATTAATTATCATAAAACTGCAAAAGTATAATTATCAGCAAATATGTAAATCATGTGTAGGACTATAATAAGTCGTGTGGCTTTGTCTATAGATTGAAAGTTGAAAACGGGGATCTCTTTCTTTCTTTTTCTTTTTTTTTTAAACACAATGCTCTACTGATAACGATTCTTTTACACTGATTTCAATAATTAGAGAGAACGCGCGATAGTGTTTTCATCGGGGTTCTCCCGAATGTGATCTACCAGAGTTACTTCCCTTCGTTTCACGATAGTATATGGTATAGCGAAAAGTTTGACAACTGAAGGGCCGAGAAAGAATACTCCATAGAAACTTAGAAAACGTAACTCTTCAAAACTACACCATCGTACTCGATTTCTCTGATGTTGCATTCACACCACTTTTGTAGATAATCAGACACAGTAAAATGAAAGTAGCAACTTCTCTTTAGCAACTACATGTTTGATTCAACATATTGTGGCAAAAAAGGCATTGACAAGTTGTTTAGTATGACCAAAACTGCTGGCAAATAAGGCATTGACAAGTTGTTTAGTATGACCCAAAACTATTGGCAAATACGGCATTTCCAAGATGGCTAGTATGACCAGAACTCTTGGCAAATAGGGCATCGCCAATCTGTTTAGCATGACAAAAAACTGGCAATAAGCCACTGACAAATTGTTCGTTATGGCCAAAACTCCTGGAAAATAAGACATTGCTAGCTTTTTAATATGACCAAAACCCAACACTGATGGCAAATAAGGCGTTGCCATTCTGATTAACTTAAAAAAAACTGCTGACATGTATGTCATTAGCAAGCTATTTAGTATGACCAGAACTACTAGAACGAAAGACATAGACAAGGCATCAACATTTTACACATTCAAATCTAAAATTTCTCTTAAAGTTAAAGCTTGAAAACGTCAACAGGATGACTTTCGTTAAGTTCTAGGAAATGGAGAACCTAAATTTTCCATTACAAGGACAGGACAGACAACAGATATTCAGACAATACATAGCAGTAGATAGAAGGACTATAGAAATTCCCAAGATATCAAGTTAGCAGACAAATGAGGTATTATAACCTTATATAATTTCATATACAAAATACAAGTCGTTTGGCCACGAGGCAGATTTGAAAGTATAAAGCGTCTGATACCCAATGACGCATACATCATTTAGAATAAAACGGAAATTGATTTAACTACACATAGAATGTTAAAATCAGTTATAACTACTAACTTGCCACAAAAACGGTCTTCATTAAATGTTTCAGAAAATACGATACGTCACCACTTTCCAACCCTATTAAGAGAAATGAAATGTAGTGTACACCGTAAAGCCAGAATACCTGAGTAGTTAGATAAATTCGGTTTGGTATACACGAGTGAATAGTATTGAACAAATCAATGGAGCAACTCCGTCAAAACCGTTGAATAAAAAACAGCTCACATTTGTATGCAAATAGATGTCCATTACAGTATTTGGTTTCAACGGTCTATATGTTTATTTCTATACTATTGGAATTAGCAGTCGATTTCCGTTTTATTGAGTTTGCGCCCTTTTTAATGGACAACGTCATCGCTAAATAAGAGACCACCACTGATACGAATGTATATATATATGGTTATATGGAATGAATAAATTCCCTCCTACTCAACTGGACAAAATACAACGACGAGCTGATGCATCGATTGCTTTATTTTTGTGTGTCTGTTGTCAGACTGATTTCCCTATTTCTACCCACAGATTTAAGGACGTATTCTTGATGCTCGTTCTGCTGTCTCAATAACATCCAATCTGTTGCCAAAGGAGTAGACTCCATACATTGATATTTTAATTTTCACTAGATCAAATATATTCTATCACAATTGACCATTTTACAGTATAAAAGCGGGGTTATAAATACCGTTCTTGAACATTCAAGTTCTTCAGTTTCAGACAAGTCGGACGAGAAAATCAATAAAGTCGTATACATCGAGAATTTTATATTTCGATGTTATTTCTTTAAAAAAAATCAAATAAATTGTGTGAAAAGAAATTTCGAAAACGATATCTTGGTGTCTATTGATTTATATAAAGCACATGAAGATTCGTTCATTTTCATCATCTTTAGAGCTATTATTTCCGTACCCTTATGCCTGCAGTGTGTCATTGTGTTGGGTCCTATATAATTTCCATATAAAGGATATTCCAGCCAATTCGCCATGGCGATAAACCATTTCATTGTTTGGTTTCCTTGCTACCTAAACACCGCCAGATCTGTTCCTGTCCAGTCACTAGTTGTCAGCTTAGCCTAGACTTATTATTTTGTAATTGCTTAAGGGACGATCATGTCCAAATGCTATCTTATTTGCAATGTCCTAAGAGGCACGAATTTCGATATCAGCCATACGTTTCTTGCTGGTATGCGTTCTATCTCATGCGAACCAGCGATGACTGTCCTGAGTCATATCCTGATGTGGTCCTGAGGTACGCAAAGGTCACTGATACAGAATATGTACAATTCTGTATGTGCACATGTCACGGAATTATTTAATTATTCAGCAACACAATCATGTGTCGGTGTCCAGGCTAATGTTTCTAATCTTGCATTAGGGCAATTTTTTAGTCTAATTTTCCGAACGCATTTGTGCAATGCACGTGAATAGGGAAGACACACAATCTAAGAGAAGTTTGAGCAATTCTGCTTCACTAGAGGTTTGGTAATTCAAAGATTTTTCGCATTTGAATTCAAAAAGCTGTTAAGTCAAATCAACAGTTTAGATCTGTGAAGATGGTACCGACTTGAATGGACTCGACACAAAGGATACTTTGTAGTGTTAGCTCCCTGAAATATCGTGTTGCTAACACATAAACAAGTCATATATCCTATGCCAATATACTTATACAACAACTTGAGAAAATACTGATACGTCGACAGAATCTTAATTCAAACTACACTCGATGAAGATGTACGATAAACTATTAACAAAATAAATCTTTAAAAGAATAAGAACAGGTGTGCTGGAAGGGTAGGCAAAGTCAGCTTCTTACTTCCTTGAGAATCTCGTTTAATCACATTAAGTGCTCGATGTCAAGCAAACAGCTTCAAGAACCCATTGATGGCCCCTATCGTCTATCATGTTTATCGCTGTACTAAAAGAGGGGAATAACCCTGGTAAATCAGAATCCAGGAACACTGATGTCTTTGATTAGCCTGGGACAGAAACCGTAGCCTTCTTCACACAGGAACACACTGAAGTCAAAGGCCACAAAAATATTGTCAAGTGAGACATTTGGAAGAAAAAAGTAATGTGTAGAAACAAGAGATGAGATAAATTTGCCTCTTTGATCATGTAATGTTGACAAACAGAAGCATTTATAGTCCTATCATCAGTAAGCGCCAGAGAAAAAGAATAATCAGAGAGCGAGGGACTTCATGATACGTTAGATTTTGATAATACATATTTTTAAATAAAATAATTTATTTCGTATGTTAAGTTACCATTCCTTTTGGCATTACTTAATGACAAATACAAAATATTTTTACACGTCTTTCGAAAACTGTAGGCACATCAATTAATGAATAAGTTAAAATTAAATAAAACATATAATCCCCCCCCCCCAAACCTCCCATTTTTTTTTCTTTTTATGTGAACTACGTGGTGTAGGCTGTACAAAACTGAGATCTCTCTTGCAAGGTTGAAATCTTCAGATAATAATAACCTGACAACAGCAAACATCGATGACAATTTAAATGTTAAAGCTTAGTTTCACAAAGCAAATCAATATTTTTTGTGATTGTTTTGTGGTGCTGGATTTAAAAAAAAACATACATCAATAACCATATATCTGCTCTTTAATCCAGGTAGGATTTCCGATATCTTTAACATATACAGTTACACTTCTATTTCCTAACATGCACTTTCTTCTGAATAACTGGTGACCTATTGATTGTAAAAGCGTAGGCTTGCCGGAATATAATTCATTCTGAATTGAAGCAAATTATACACGGAAATATGGCCTATAAGTTAATGTTTGTATAAGGCCACACGCCCACTCGTATCATTTTCCAAATGTTATCGAATTTTCTCAAATTAGGTAATGGATAGCCTACAGAGGGCGGGTGCTTATTTAAGTGTCAGCTTTCGTCTAGGTTAGTGCAACACGGTACTCAGACTCGATTTTTAAATATGCGTCTTTCTCTATTTGT